GTGCGTCCGTAGAGAAAGTAGGTACTGTGGTTTGTGTTTTTGTTTCTCTAGTTTTTCTACCAACATCAAAACAACATAACGTTGTCTCAACAACAACAACAACAACAACAACAACAACAACAACAACAACAACAACAACAACAACAACAACAACAACAACAACAACAACAACAACAACAACAACAACAACAACAACAACAACAACAACAACAACAACAACAACAACAACAACAACAACAACAACAACAACAACAACAGCAGCAGCAGCCAAAGCATTGGAGTGCAGAGCCGGAGGTCTAGTTGTGGTTGCAACGGGAAACGGTTCTCGCTGATCGGTGTTTCATAAGGTGGTACAGCATGATTTTACACGTCCAGGAGTTGAATGCATCCATACGTACACGATCTGTTCTTGTCCTGCTGTTGAGATTCGCGTCACGTCTTCATTCATGTATCGCTGAAAGTGTGTCTTCCCGAAAGGAACCCTGTCTTTCTGATCTGTTTCTTGCATGTGTCATATTGGAGTCGCTGCATGATTTGAAATTACGGTCTCAATTCTCGATCTTGGTATGTTCCTTGCTGGTCATTCCTATTTTGTTTTGTTATGCATGCCTACACGAACGCACCTGGTTCTTGACTCTCTCATAAATAAAACAAGCCAAAAGGTTCTGTGGTTTCTGTGGACAAGTAGGGGCACGTGAGCAGGGAGATTGGTCAGTAAAGATAACGTTGTGTCGCTTTAGTCTTGCGCCCAAGCCAACCGAGACTCGCCTACACCCACGTTACACACCCACACACCCACACACTCACACACCCACACACTCACACACTCACACACTCACACACTCACACACTCACACACTCACACACGCACACACTCACACACGCACACACTCTCACACACACTTACTACTCACAAGCACACCAAACTTGTATCTTTGCACATCAAGCACACATGCAAGCACGCGCGCACACACGTGCACAAACACACAGACACGCACAGGCTCTTGTTGTTGAGTCAAAAGAAATGCTCTCACCCAGGGCAGCCACTCAATCGTGTGTGCATGAGCCGCAGGCACAGGTTTTCACACCGATTCCACTGTATTTTGATGGACAACCATAAGCACTGGGTAAAACCAAGCAACCGCAGCGCATACAAGGGCAACAACACAGAGATAGATAGTAGTAGAGTTACATGAGACATGACCGTCGAGCGTAGTGAACCAATGATGAAGAAAACCTGAATCTCACACACATACGGCGAAACATAAACAGAAGCCCAGGATGCGATGGTCGACGATGCAACGAGCCAAACCACACAAGGCTGCCACGTACAAGCAACAGCGATGTACAACAAAAAGAACAAGGTGCGTTGCTAGGAATGGGAGCAAACGCGAATTGACATGGACCGTGGCGCGGTCGGCTCAAGCAGCGAAGACAGCAGTGCAGTAGCAACACGTGATTACAACTCGATGTACTGGTCATTGGTTGGCCTTGTGGCTTGCTGTTGTGGTTCAGGCTGCGGTACAACGTTGTGCGCTTGGCCCTTGTCAGCTCCGCCAAGACTGGAAGCGCTGCTTGCAGCATCGGTGCCGTTCTCAGCCCCTGCACTGTCATCGTCCTCTGGCTGTTCCTGTCCGAGGTTGTCGTATTCACTCGCAAACAAAGTCTCGTCGATCTCGTCAGACTTCTGTCGCCGGTGGTGGTGCACGGCCTCCACAAAGTTGAGCGAGTCCACGTACTCGGATGCGTTTCGGGTCGACGAGGCGACGCTGGCGGCCATGTGCGCATCGTTCAGGTAATGCTCAGATGGCCGCGGCGGCGCTTTGGGCCCCGTCGTGTTCATGTACTGGTCAATCGTGCTCGAGCTCGCCGTTTTGCCCAGCGCAGAGGAAAGCAGGCCCCGCCTTGCAATGGAGCTGCTGGCGTTACTCATCAGGCTATTGCGGCTGCCGCTGAAACTAGATGTCAACGCGCCCCTCTTCTCCCGCTCCGCCATCATCAGCCTGCCCAGGCTCAGGGACGACGGCTTGGTGCTGAGCGAAGCCGATGTCACCTCAGACACCTTGGCCAGGTCCATGTACTCGTGCAGACTGGCAGAGGATTCTGGCTTCCTGAGGAGCGGGGAGCTCGACGCAGCCTCGTCGGAGGTCAGGCCCATCGTCGACCCGCGGTATTTCTGGCATAACAGACCACAAGCAGTTGAGTCGGAAGTGTGTGTGTGTGTGTATGTGTGTGCGGGTGCGTGTTTTTGACGTGCGAATGTCGATGATGGTGATACATTCCAGCACAAATGTAGCAACAGTTGTTTCGTTTCATGCGAGGTGGAAGCCAGCAGCTAGCAGCTGCAAGAACACACAGTTTCCACATCCACCTTGCAGCAGTTGCGAGCCAACTCACATCTTTGTTGTTGGTGTAGCGAGCCTCGATGGTGTGGATGTTATCCAGTTTGGATACGCTCGATGGCGCATCTTCGCCTTGCAGTGTCTCTTCCATCTACAGCAGTCGGGACAAGTGGTGGTGGCGGCGGTGGCGGCGGTGGCGGATGAAGTTAGTTGCACACAAAACTAAGGCTGCAAACGTTGAGAAGAGGTTGCAGCCTTGAGTCGTAGGCCAAGCACACAGACGGACACACACACACACACACACATACACAGATAGATAGACAGACACACACACACACAGACAGACACACAGACAGACACACAGGCGCAAAGGCATACAACCTCACACAAATACGAACACACACATGTATACAAAGGCACACAAGCGCACACGAATACAAGCGCACGCAAACATTATAAGACAGGCATGCTCGCTCCGCAACATCACTGACAAAGTCGAGCTCCTCACGACGACAACTGTCCAGGAGTTGCACGAGCGTGGCAAACGTCGGCCGATCCTCGGGCTTGAGCTCAAAGCAGGGGCGCATCAACTGCGCATACCGCTGCGCAGTCAGGACCGGCGGGCGGGCAAGCTTGCCGCCCTTGCGCACCTGTCAGGCACGAGGGGAATGTGTGGCGTCGGCGAAGCATGTTTGTGTATGTGAGTATGTGTGATTCTATGCGCGTGTGGTTGTGTGATTGTGTGATTGTGTGATTGTGTGATTGAGCGTTGTGTGCGTGTGTGCGTTTGATGAGGGTCAACCAAGAAATGAACGTGCACACATTCACGTACACGCCTGATGGAGCATTCGACTCTCGCACCCTTGCCGGCGCCACGTACATATTCGATGACTTCCGCCAGCGTCATCCCTTTGTAGGGCAGGTCTGCGTCAGTGAAGATCTCTGGTGCCGTCAACACATGCAAAAATCATCGAAGACCATTGCAGTGAGTTCATACGTTAGCACGACAAGGAAGATCAGATTGTTCCTGCTTGCAGCAGGCGTTCGAGAAACTCAAACACATGATCTCTCACAATCACATGCAGTCAGCAATATACTGGCGAGCACGACATCGTCCTCAACGCACCGTACAGCAGGATACCAAACGCCCTGCATTGCACCCCGGATGGCCACACGTTTTGTTGAGAAGTGGATGAGGCTTGGGGCTAGGATCGAGCAATGTGTTGGGATGTATATGTACATGTGCATGTGCATGTGTACGTACATGTGCATGTGCATGTGTACGTACATGTGCCTGTGCATGTGTATATGCATGTGCATGTGCATGTGCGCGTGCGTGTATTCAAGGATACGCAGCCCTGCTGGTTGCCATGAACAAACAACATTTGCCTGGCTGTGTCTTGTCAACCAACATTGCACACGCCTTGCTCACTCACCACACGTCAGATGCCTCAGAGTACACGTGCTCTGCCATTGCTTCGGGCGCCAGCCATCGGACCTGACGAGAGTACACACACACACACGTCAGCACATGCGCGAACATGCAGCGGGTGAATTGGTGAATGCGGCCTCTGATGTGCCTGTGTTTCGTGCACAATCCGAGCGGTTTCTGTCTTCCACACACCCACACCCCCACACCCCCACACCCCCACCCACACCCCCACCCACACCCCCACCCACACCCACACACCCTTACACATACACACACACACATGCATGCCCTCTTTGAGTACATACCGGCCGCTTCATATCATCCTTCGCCACATAGCGCGCCGACTGGAGTTGACACAGTATCACAAGCAAGGCGCAGATGTGCAACAGCACGCATCAGCAAATGTGCAAGTCTGATACGGGACCAGGCGACATACGCCCCGTGCAGCAGAACCACGCGCCACAAATAAACACACTTGCACCCAAAGAAGCCATGACAAGTCAGTGCCCCAAGCACAGCCCTTCAACCACTCAACACCCCAGCCTTGCCCACGAGCAGCACACACCTCCATTTGCCGTGCCAGGCCAAAGTCGGATATGCAGCAGGTGTAGTTGCTCGACACCAGCACGTTTCGCGCCGCAAGATCCCGATGCACAAACCCTTTGCTAATCAGATACTCAGCACCTGTGGCAGTGGAGTTGGTGTGCAGGACGAGAGCGCGTTGACGTGGCGTGAGTTTGACATGCATGAGTAGAACCAGGTCATATGATGTCTTCGGCAAACACGCGGGTCTTAGGATACATCGGCAATCGTGGCACAATCCACGACACACACACGCACACACACGCACACACACACGCACGCACGCACACATACACATACCTTTTGCAATTTCCCATGCAATGTGGAATCTGGATGCCATGATGAGGCGGTCAAAGCCTTGGCGCTTCTTCAAGAAGCTCTCGAGCGACCCGTGCTCGCTGTTTGTGGTGTCAAAAATGCCGCGGTAATCGTGACATGAATGCAACCGTGCATGCACGTGTGCATGGCGGCACGTGCGTGCAGAGATGTGTGTGTGTGTGTGTGTGTTTGTCAGTTTGAGCGAGGCAGCGGTGCCCACACATGCACAACGACGTGCTTGGACGTAAGCGTGACTTCATGCCACGTACAAATCATGCACAAAGCACACACCAATAACGCAGGATAATGAACCAGGCCCAGCGAGCAAGCAAATCATACATCTGACCAGTAAGCCAGCACGACCATGACGGGTTCAGAGCGGGTCACGACGCCAACAATTGCCATGACATTTTCGTGCTCAAACTGGGCCTGTAGAGAGCAGTGCGCAAGCAAGGCCGCACAACAGAGGCGAACGTGAGAGAGGGGAGGTATTGTGAAGAGGGAGAGGGCGGAAGCATTGTGATTCGGCTTCGTCAGCCTTGTCTCATGTGCATCCACGGCGACTCATCAGAAGAAGGACACTGCATTCAGTGAGCTCTGGAAACCAACTTGTGCCGAAACCAGAACAACGAGTGCAAATTGTTGCTCGCTCACCATGATGAGGGCTTCGGCCAAGAGAGCGTTCTTTGCCGCCTCCGCGTCCCTGTCAGGCGCAGACCGGAACACCTGCATACGTTGGCCCAGCATGGGAAACACATATGTCGCAATGAGGAGAGGTCTTAAGCCACGTCATAGCC